AAACTGCACATTGACCACAGAACTGACTGGCGGATTGGAATGACTAACCTTCTCCCATGTTGGGCTAAGTCGATATTGGAGGATAAAGCGGAAGTTTCCACATCTCGTTACTAATCTCCACTATTCAGGTTTCAGAATTGAATTCTGCATTAAGACGATGCGGACCCTGTTTAATTGCCCACCATGGGAACCACGGGTAGAATAACAGAACAGCGTGTCTTGTCCAATACGCACACAGGGCTAGTTCTGTAGGCTCACAGGGTGGAGGGGGCCAGAAAACCAGCGGGTTCAAACAGGAAAACATCAGCCTCCAAAACGTAGAACTTGGAAATCAGGGCATGTCGTTTGGGAATGAGCCTCTAGTCTCCCCCACGCCATGCCTATCCGCAGACTCCAACTCACCTCATAATCAATCTTGCCAGCTAGTGTTTTCCTATTTTCCTGGTTTTACCATTTGCCTCCATCTACAAACATCACACCCCCAAACTTACAAAACACATTATTTTTGCATTTACTCTCCCCACTCCCCATGAACAAACATGTTCTCATTCCATTTAACGAAGGAATGGAAAATAAATAACAGAGAATGCTCTCTATTCTATAATTATTATACATATTTGCAGCCCTGCTCAGCAGAAATATTTGTCTAGTACACACCGCCCACCTTGAATGCAAGAGTGACACGTAATATTCATTTTGGCATCATTGGTTTTCCATCTCTGCAAACAAACCTGGTTTTGTTGGGGTTTTTTTTACATAAAAAGAATAGAGAGCTACTTCCGGATTAAGATCAATGATCTAGGCCAGGGGTGGGCAAACTTTTTGACTCGAGGGCCACAATGGGTTCTTAAACTGGACCGGAGGGCCTGAACAAAAGCATGGATGGAGTGTTTGTGTGAATTAATATAAATTCAAAGTAAACATCATTACATAAAAGGGTACGGTCTTTTTTTTTTTTTTAGTTTTATTCATTTCAAATGGGCCGCATCCGGCCCGCGGGCCGTAGTTTGCCCACGGCTGATCTAGGCCCTGGCCAGACTGCTCAGTAGTTAGAGCATCATCCTCATACTCCAAGGTTGCAGTTTGATCCCTGGTCAGGGCATGTACAATAATCCACCAATGGATGCATCAATAAGTGGAACAACAAATCTCTCTCTCTCTCTCTCTCTCTCCCCCTTCCTTTCTCTATCTCTAAAGTCAATAATAATAAAAAGAGGACTGATCATTGATTAACGTTGGGATTTTCATCATATCAGGAATTCACACAAATCGTGTGGCTTTTATTGAGCTGGGAAAGTTCTACTGTCAATCAATAGAAGTATTCTATCTTAGAAACTTATTAATATTCATTTATTTAGTATTTAATATTTACCTGTTTTAAAAGGAAGAGTAAGTAAATGCTTGAGTTATATGACTTTTTGACTTTTTAAAATCCTCATCAGAGGATGTTTTTTTAAATTGATTTTAGAGAGAGGAAAGAGAAAAATATATTTTTTTAAAAGAAAAAAAAGACATCTAATCTCTTTCAAAGAGACGATGTAAAAGAGTGAAAAATTAAATGCAAAGGTGCTAATTACTAGCCATGGATTCATTTTCAAGTTGTTCATTTAACTTCTACAACTAATGAGTAGAGATATACTCCACACTGCAAACTGGGGCTCCCCAGAAACTCAGGTAATTAGAGTATTTCTTTATAATGGACATTACTCAGCAGGTAAGAAAAAACAAGTCAGAATGATTCCCTTTATTTGTAAAACTCATTAGTGACAAGGAAAGTACAAATAATTTCCAAAGTACTACTGTGGTGTTTTTTTTTAATAATGCAAGGAAAACAGGTGATTTTAGACTAGT